GGGACACACTGCAAAAACTAGGGCGACAGACGCTCACCAACGGCCCGACTTTGGTCGAAGGCCGACTGTCTGCTTGGTGTGTCAGGGCCTTAAGTCTGTGGGAAAAATGTCTTGTGGACGGCATGGAATCACATGACAGACCCAGAAGTTGTGATTCCACTGTCTGGCCACTACAAAAACATGTTAACACAGCTAGCTGTTGGTCTGTCGGCAAAGCCAACAGAAAATAAAATCACAGACAAAACATTTACATCAGAAGACATCAAAGTGTCACCACCTCTTTAAGGATAGAGGTGGTGACATGTGGAGCTAAAGCTCACTGAGTCAAAGGAGCACAAGACTGAACGGAGAGGCTTCTTGTATTTCACCTCATTTGGTATTTTTTTTAATTAAAAAATGAACCAGGTAGTTACCAGCTAATGGGTGTTGGACTATCCAAAGTGAAAATAACCAAAACTGACACCCCTGGTGTGAAGGCAATGTTCAGCTGTCCACATACTTTTGGCCGGGTAGTGTTTGAGATCAGATTGTTGAGTTCATTTATCAACTTTAGAGGACGTGATGTCATTTACAGGGACGAATTATTCTGCTGCAGCGTTTAATAAAATAAAATAAAAGTGAGAGTTATGGATTCACATCATAGGAAACACAATCTGTTCTACACCTGACGGCTGCTGTCCAGTCTCAACACACACACACACACACACACACACACACACACACCGACTACACGTCACTACATCTACTGGTCAGCCATATTACCTTCAGAGCTATCCATGTTAGCTAGCCAGAGAGAGAAACAGAGAGAGGGACATGGTGAGGAGACACAGCAGGTTAGTTCAGTGTTAGTGAAGCTGGAGGACACACGGTACAACACACACACACACACACACACACACACACACACACAGATCAGCACACACCTGTTTGTACTTCCTGTAGCATCTCTGTATGACAGCTGCAGCCATGTCTTGCTGCTCCTTTAACCTCCGACCCTGCGCACACACACACACACACACAGGAAACAGTGATATACGTGGTGCATCCAGGTGCTGCCTGCAGGGGGCAGCAAGACACCAACTATATGTAGAATACAGGTACTCCTTCAAAACACAGATACACACATTGATGAACTGCAGCATCATATTCAAAGCTGTGTATATATGTGTAGAAGTATGTGTGTGTGTGTAAGTGTGTGTACTTTGTATCTCCTGAAGGCGTTCTGGATGATCCTGGCGGCCTCGTACAGCTCCCTCTGCTCTCCGTCTGTCAGCGTCAGCAGGGCAAAGTCTCTCTCCATCTTCCCATTGGCCGAGGCGTTCAGGAACTCCGCCCAGGCCGCAGAGGATGGGGGGCGGAGCCTCTGGAGGGCTAGTGCGCTGAGGGGCGAGGGGGGGCACACCCGCCTGCAGGTACACACACAGATCCATCCCATGATGCATGCAGTGGTTACACTTTTTGTATCAGCGCAGGGCGTCTTTCAGGTGGGGCTTACCTGGGTGGGGAGTGTGTGTGGGCGTCGACTGTGTCCAGGTAGGTAGCAAGCCATGTGTCCTGTATGGCCGGGTTGTCCCGCCTCTCTCTGAGCGGAGACTCAGCCCCCCTGGGGAAGTCCTCCTGTTTGATTCGCTCCGGGGTCGCCTCAATGATTTGCTCTGCCAGCGTTGCCATGTCAACCTGTTGTATAGAGAGGGTAACCATAGAAACCATAATTCAAAACACCTGCGGTTATTAACTAACCTCGTGGACTAAACGTGTAGAACAACCTCAAGGTTTGTTCTGCAGTCTGTTTAATGTGCGCGTACCTGCAGCACCTCCTCCTCCAGGTACTCCTCCTCCTCGCCTTCATTCTCTGCGTTCTCACTGTAGCTCAGCAGCTGCTCCTCTAGCGTCACTGCCGTATGTGCTCGCCGTCCGCCTGCAGTGTGTGGGTGTGTGTGGGTGGGCGAGGGGGGGCAGGCGCTCTCGTAGTCCATGAGGTAAAGTGGAGAGTCTCTGGAGCCGCTGGGGTTCAAACCTGCCGTTAATTATTGATAACACTGATTAGTCGAGGGACACAGACCGCAACCAGCCATTTTATTTAACAAACATGTTACCTGCGTTACCTGTGCTGGGCTCTGCGTTCGGCTCCTCCCCCCACATAGACACAGGAGGGAGGGAGGAAAGGGGGAGGGAGGATGGCGAGGGAGGGGAGACCGGCAGTGAGGAGGAGGAGGAGGGAGATGAAGGTGGAGAGGGGGAGGTGTCCATAGGGGCGGGGCCACTGGAGTAGGCAGAGCTCGGGGAAGGGGAGGAGGGGTCGCTGGGGGACGGGAGGCTGCTGGAGGAGCTCAGACCTGGAGGGGGAGAAGGGAGACAGCCAATCAGAGTCCTGGAATCCTGTCACATGACTGTCAGTAAACTAGAGCTGTGATCATCAGCAGGCATGTGTTACCTGTGTCTGGGCTGGTGGACAGAGGCGACGGGGGCAGCTGTGCTTGTGGTGTGGCCGGCGTGTGTGTGTCTGCTGGAGGTGTGTGCGTGTCCCTGGGTGTCATGTGCGTGTGCGTGTGCAGCTCCTCAAGTGCTGTGGCGAGGCGCGTGTGGCCTCGGGAACGGGCCACGGCAAGCGGCAGGCGTCCCAGCGAATCAGGGATCCCCAGAGCCGAACTGTTCCAACCATACAGAAGCTCTGCTGCCCTCTGGTGGCCCAGAGCGCACGCCCACATCTGGAACACACACACAGACACGCTAAACATGTAAGCTGGAAACACGTGAGCGGGAAAAACATTAGCTAGAAACATGGTAGCCCTCAATATGTTGGCTGGAAAAATGCTAGGTGGACAAATGGAAGCCATAAACATGTTTTAGGTGGAAACACATTAGCAGGAACACCTTAGCCGGAAAATGTTAGCCAGAAACACATTAGCAGGAACA